AAATGCATCTTCACTTGTGTCTCCTGCTCTCCCTATAATTTAGAGTCGACCGGTGAGAGAAAGACTTCGTATTAAAGGGACACTCTAGTCACCAGAACTTCTACAGCTTAATGTAGTGGTTCTGGTGTCTATAGCCTGTCCCTGTATGTTGAGCACTGCAAATGTTACCTTTTCGGGGAAAAGGCAGTGTTTACATTGCTGCCTAGGAACATCTCTAGTGACAGTCACTCAGATGGCCACTAGAGCTGCTTCCTAGTCCAGTGCTGCACAGTGTGCAGCACCTATGTTGAGCATCTACACGCTCTGCATGGAGGCGCTGTACGCTCCCCATAGAGATGCATTGATGCTGATTGGTGCTGTGATGCACAATAGCCTCCCAATGCTTTACTGTGGAAATTAAATTGGCGTTGACTGAGATCATCCAGTTGTCAGCCAAAGTGAAGAGCAGACTCTTGTTACTTCAAAATAAGCAAGACGTTATTTTTTTTACTGCTGTGCAATAACATACATTCACAATTTCAGTCCAATTACGAAACTTTCCTTAATATGTCAAAGTAGTTGGACTGAAACATTGATTATATGCAAATGCACGTCTGTTTACAACAAATCTGTTCTTTTGTTTATTTTGAAGCCCTGTGAGTGCTTTCCTTCACGTTTGTGTGATAGTTTTCAGTTTTGTTTTTTCCAGCTTTTATATCTGCACACTATGCGGGCGCGATGCATGGGCTGGTATAGAATTTATTTTCCAGGGCTGATTTTCATTCCCAGTCCGACCCTGGACAGAACTCTTCTCCAAAGGCCAGCTATATTATTCCCTTAGAGAATGCTGCAATACGAAACCTATTAAAACTATTTACTTGCAGACACCTGATTGTTGTCAGACAATGTTCTAAACCAGTGGTTCCCAAACTTTTTTAGGTTCAAGGTGCCCTAAATATTTCAATATTTTTCCTAGGCACCCCAAGTCAAAATTTCTAGGTTGTATATCTGTACACCATTGCAGCATTTACTGTCGCTGTAATGTAATGTACAGTGTTGGTGTTTGAAGAGGTGCTTGTATATAGTTTTAGTGATTTAACATAGGGGTGTGTTTGAATGTTATGTTCACTTTTAAATGCGGGTGTACATTTGTGTGAAGTATTTGTGAAGTTATGTGTTTGTATATCCTTTTGGAGTTTGAATTCAGGGGTTTGTTTGTATGTAATATTTGTGTTAGATTGCAGGAGTGTGTTTGTATGTTGTGCTGGTGTATGACTGCCTGGATGTATACACATACACTACTTCATACATACATACATACATACTTACACAGATATGCATACACACAAATTCATATAGACACTGACACATACACACACACATAGATACACCCTGACACATACACACACTGACACATACACACACCATGATACAGATACACACACTAAAAATGAAAATCCAGCGCACTCGCTTATCTACTAAACAGTCATTTTAGTGCTGAACAATTTTTTGGTTTTATTAAAAACACCTAATCTAGGCAAAAAAATAATGGGGGTTTAGTTACAGTATATGATCATACATTGCATAAGCCTGACACAACGTCAATGTACCCCATCTTTGACAAGTCTTACTCTGTCTGCTAAATGAGCTACTCACTTGGGGAAATCCTTCCACCTCGAGTTAATGTCACTGACATTAAAACACACTCAATGACAAAAAGATGCACATACACATATGCATATCCTGACACACTGATGTGTGTGCACACACAGACACACACTGACACAGAAGCACACTGACATATATATACACACCCATACAAATGCACAACCTGGCACACGCATACAGAGATGCACACCCTAACACACACACACACGTGATCTTTTTAATATCTCCAGCCAGCCTCTTATTAGCTTGCCTTGTGTGTCTAGGAGGGTGGCTTTGAGTCCTGCTGCTGCTGGTGGGAGTGAGGGGTCTGGAGCTCTTCGTGTTCCTCTCCCCTCATGCTGCGGCTGCCTCCTCTCCCTCCTGTGCTGTCTCCCTGCATGAGGCTGGGAGGAAGTGACAGGATGTCACTTCCTCCCAGCTGGCCAAAATTACAGGTGCCCGGTCACGTTCTTAAAAGACTGCGGCACCCGACCAGGCCCCTGTTCAGCAGTAATGTTTCCCTGGTGCTATAATTATAGCACCGAGGAAACATTCTGCAGCGCCCCTGTGTGCCTGTGACACAGTTTGGGAACCGCTGTTCTGTAACCAAATATTTACATTTATGACTCAGAATGTGTACAACAGACACTGAAAAAGTGGTGACTTCATGTTTCTTTACCACATAATTAATTTGGTCTATTTGAAGCACTCCAAGTAACAAAACCACTACCATATGCCTTAGTGGTTATGGTGCCAGAAGTGCCCTGGCTCTCCCCTAGTGTTAGTAGTCAAAATGTTTGATAATGACTTGTCCCTATGTTCTGTCTCTTCTGGAGCCAGGAACTCTCTGAGTGAGCTAAGCCCGGTAGTGTAACCAGAGCACCATAACTACTACAGCACTCTTTAGTGAGATTAGAGAAGTATAATAAAACTAGAAAATGTCTAATTTATGATGTTTAACATTGCTTATCATGTCTTATCATGTCTATAGGAATCACAATTTAAAACTGCCATCTTTAATATTAGGTGCAGACCGAAATTAAGAAAACGTGGACAAGATGGAATCTTGCATTTGACTGGAAAAGCACAACACATTGTAGTAACTTCAGGTATGGCTCTGTCCTGACTAATATGACGCACAGCACTAGCAGCCAGTCTCAAATGGTAACCAGCTCTCGTATGGTATTGATCTCCAGCAAAGTGAGTCGAAGTGTCAACAAACAGGTCGATGGACACATGAATTTACCTGGATATGTTAGAAGCAACTCAGACCAAGACTGCTTGCCCCAGTGGATCCAAGAAGAAGCCAATGAAGAAAAGCAAGTCGATGATATATCTTTAAAGGAAACAATAAGACCAGTGCAAATGAGTACTGAAGCAGAGGTCAACAGAAGTGAAATAGAAGAAACATTGTAATTAGTTGCTTGATTAAGGAATGTTTTTGACATCAAATATAAAACGGGTAGACTTTATTTTGTACTTGCCTATTACAAGACTACTATACAAGGCTAAATAGCCGTACAATTCACCTGTGAAATGTAATTGGTAATAACTCTGCAGGTTTATTAAAGTGTGTAAATGCAGTTAAAAAGCACAATGAGACTGACCAGATAACAGTTTAAGGCAGATATTCAAAGGTTACAGATCTGTCCAGCCTCAGGCACTTACAGGATTATTCACTAATATCTGAATTTTAGCAATTAAAATATAAATTTATCAAAAGTGTGACTGTAGCTGAGATAAAGAATTTTTGACTAAATGTTGCAATTAGAATTTAATTTACTAAAATGTGGAGTTTAGTGAACAATCCTGCCAAACCTAGATTTTAAAAATAATGAAAACTGTGGTTAAAAATGCAAAAGTATAATGTGTCTTGCAAATGTCTGTAGTGCACTCCTTTGCATTTTGTTTTGCACTGTGTAATCTACATTAATTTTAATGCACCAGCATTTCTATATGACTTGAGTCAACAACAAAAAAAAAATCAAAGCTTTTATCAGGTTAGTTTACTACTTATAAATCATATAGATATATGGAGCACACTTTTAAAACAGATTAGAATATATTTATTTGGTTGTATATATTTTAGCATATGAAAAAAAATATGAATACAATACAATAATGGAATGTTTGCAAATTATAAATATGTATATGTTGTGAAGAGAGTCATGGTCACTTTCTATAGGTGATTGCAGCTAGCTATCCTACATGGGTGACAATTTGTGGGTGACATCATCAACACACTGTGTCAATCTAGTTTGTGTGCAGGCCAGACATTTCCAACATAACTTAGCTAATGGTTTTGAAAGTTCGTTTCTGCATGTAAAATATACAAAACAAAAAAATTTAAAATAACAGAATGTAGATGGACATTGAGTAGTATACTTTAAATCTGAAATATTTATTCTAATAAGGCATAACTATGGTCATGGCTGATGAAGATGACAGCCAGATAATTAATGTCTTTCACATCCAAATATTCACAGGAAAAAAAAAAAACATCAAGGATAAACCTCTGGTCAATTGATAATTACTTTTTTTTATGAGATGCCTATACATTTTCAAGTAAAGAGACTTCACTAATTTAGTCTCATCAATGTTAATGTTTCTGTATTAACTTTATGTATATTTTAATGCCCCCTAGCTTTTAACTAAGTGATGTTTGGCTTTCTCCTGTACATTTTTCATAATAAGCATATTATCAAACATACATATCCATAATTGCTTACATTACAAATATTGGATTTTTCAATTCATTTTATGCCTTTTATTTGCATAAAATAAGTCATACATTATATTTACTGTTTTTTTTTTTTTTTATAGAGATGATTTCCCTTTTAATGTACAATTTAAAGAAATTAATTTAATGATATATGTCTGCATAACAGATGCATTCTGGTCCTGTTTAGCTTGGCAATATAAATATAAGGCTACTTATTATTTCCTTTTAACTTCAGACAAACTGTATTTGTAAACCTTTTGTAACTCTATATTGGAAGTTATGAGTTATTGTACATTGCAAAGGCCTAGTGGATTGTCATATAAGTGCACAATGAGCAGAAGTAGAGGTTTTAATTGCAAAAAATAATAACCTATATGTAAAATATCTAACCCCATAGTTTGATATCTTACAAACAGTTCTTACCTAGCAGTACAGAGTTAACAAAAACAGTTTATTAGACATAGCTTCTGTTTTCGTGAATCATAATATGGGTGTTTTGATTAGTCTTTATAGTGTACACAGATTGAATGTATTTCGTGAATAATAAACAAGTACTGCTCTAAACACCCTGATCACTACAGCATCAGCTGATGACCAGTGAATATGTTTCCATCTTGGTATGAGTTGGTATGATAACGAAGTATGAACTTATGCTTTACCAAACCAACTCAGACTGGACTGGACTATGGACGCCCAACAGGTAATTGGTTTTAGTTGTATGCACTTTACATTGTCCATTTTTGTTAAGTGACAGTGCATTCTAATTAATTTATTACATGTAATCATGTAAATGGAAGTGCATTAGTACTGAGAAAATACACGAATGAGTCATTAGAGAATGACCAGAGGCTTGTCTTTAACATTTCAATTTATTTTGTACACTGTTCAGTTGCAAGGCACAAACAATTTAGTCTCATAATTAATAAGAATAAGGAGAGAATTCTGTCTCATTGAATTCAGTTTCCATTTTAGACATACCACTATGTTTTTCTATATCCTTCTTTTATTTTATTTTCTATTCTTCCTTTCTTTTTTTCTGTCCTTTCCTTTGCTTTCTTTTTTCCTTTTCCCTTTATTCTTTCGTAGCTCTAATCTCTATGTCCAAGTTGATGCAATCTTATTTATGATCAGGAAAAAATATTTAGTTAATAATGCTAAGTTCTGTATTACTATATGTACTGTATACAGACACAGTTGTAAAATGTTTTGATCCAATTGTTAGGCTCTAGAAAATGTGACCATATGACACTGAACATTAAATAGAAGCGTGCTTACATATTAAACAAAATCTGCACTATTATGTACTCTTATGTTATTTGCCATCTGATAAAATATAATATTCTAGAAAAGACTTATGTTTAAAGGGGCACTCTAATTATCATACACTGCCATTGTCCCATAATTGGTATTGATAATGCAGAAGTGTGTATTCCACATTATTAATGGAATGGAGATGAGGTCGTATTGTGCTGAGAAGACCCCCAATTTAGTTCAAACTATTTTTAAATGGTTTGATATTAAATACAAGGTTTGGGCCAGGTGGTGGTCATGATGCTTAGGATCTTCCTTTGAGTTACACCATCTTGTTTTACTTTCAGATTTATCAATGTACAATGTAAAACATACATCAATATTCTTCTCCTTGTTTTGTAATACTTTGAATTTTAAGATATATGCCTCCAAACAGTTCATGTTAATTACTATAATTATATCCACCACAAATATTGTTTTATGACTGTTACACAAATATTCTGCATATACAGTACGTACATTTAGGCTCTTGAAATAGGAGTCAGTAGCTGCATCTCAATAATCCATAGAACCTGTCAACGTAGGGTTAACCCAGTCTGTTATCCTTTCAAGGTAAATAAAATAAACAGCAGTAAGTATTGTTTCTTCTAGATGCAAGGAAAATATAAATAAATAATGCATAGTTCTCCAAACTGCATGTGTGTGTGTGTGTGTGTGTGTGTGTGTGTATACACACACACACACACACACACACATATATATATATATATATATATATATATATATATACATACACACACACACATATATGTACGAAAACAAGAAGAGTGCACCCAGGGGTCTGGTAAGAAAATATAGTTGATGCTTTTTATTAAGCACAATTGAAAATCAACGTTTCACGTTTTCACTGAAACGTCAGTTTTTAATTGTGCTGAATAAAAAGCATCAGCTATATTTTTTTACCAGACTCCTGAGTGCACTCTTCTTGTTTTCATTTATTGTGGCTGGAATTGGCACCGGGGCAACTATAAGACCGGGAAACTTGTATACATAAAGACTAAAAGGACTCACTAGGGTTAAGGATAACAGAAGTTCCACTCTTTGTTTACAACATTAGAAGCTTATGACATCATAAAACAGTGCTACATTTGAATATGATTTTGAAGCTAAATACTTTATATCAAAAAATATTACTTTATCATAGTCTGCTATCTAAACTAACAATGCACCCTGTTGCATTGCTGCAATCTGACAAATTTCCCTTTTTCACTTATGACCGCCTATACTGATATACTTAATAAGGGCAGCATGCATTTTGCTATAATGCCCTCAACACAGCATGCCTTCTGAATTGGTACGATAGATAGATAGATAGATAGATAGATAATCACTGATCCCACCGGTGCTATTAACCATTTTAGTCACTACAGAGTACATTTAAATCTTTGAACATCAAACAAGTTGTACATTTTTCTTAAAGGACCACTATAGTGCCAGGAAAACATATTCGTTTTCCTGGCACTATAGTGCCCTGAGGGTGCCCCACCCTCAGGGTCCCCCTCCCGCCCGGCTCTGGAAAGGGGAAAGGGGTTAAAATTTACCTTTTTCCAGCACTGGGCGGGGAGCTCTCCTCCTCCGATCCTCCTCTTCTCCTCCCCGTCGGCTGAATGCGCACGCGCGGCAAGAGCTGCGCGCACATTCAGCTGGTCACATAGGAAAGCATTCATAATGCTTTCTTATTGGACGCTGGCGTGCTCTCACTTAAGCACGCAAGCGCCTCTAGCGGCTGTCAATGAGACAGCTGCTAGAGGAAATAGGGGAAGGCTTAACCCATTCATAAACATAGCAGTTTCTCTGAAACTGCTATGTTTATGAAAAAATGGGTTAACCCTAGCTGGACCTGGCACCCAGACCACTTCATTAAGCTGAAGTGGTCTGGGTGCCTAGAGTGGTCCTTTAACCTCCTTGAAGATGTATTGCCTTTACTTTTGATACTGTGGGTGCCAATTGATGTGGACATTACTGTTTTCACAGCCTTAACAAAAATGCATAAGGCATTCACTGGGATCTAACTAGGCAATGCTTTAACACTGTGAACATCTGTTGGGTTTATACATCTTCTCATGTTTTTCTTCTTTTGCATCCCTTTCTCCATTAATTTATTGTATGTTTTACCTCCAGTGAAGGATTTCTTCAAGTGTACCTCTTGCTTCGCACAATAACCACTATTTTTTTTTCTTCTTTGCTTAATGTTTATAGATAGCTGAATGTCGGAGCATATTAATTTATATATCTACAAACCTGATCTAAAATTCTGTGGCTCTGCAGAAGTTATGAGTGCTTCACTGGACCATCAGTAGGTATTCAGGTAAGGGGGCAAACCATTGTTAAATGGTTTACCTTATTACTTGGAAAACAGGCCGGGTTTGCAGGTTATGATGCTTGGAATATCCCTTTAAACAGAAATCTTATTATATGGCATATTTTTATCATTGAATAAAGAATGTATGTTCAGTTTTATTGACCATGAAAGAGGCCAGTACAAGAAGTCACATACTTTTAATGTCAAGGTAATTTACTAAGTTGAATTGTTGGGAAATTAAAGTGAATTCAAATGAATTTTAAATAGTAGTCCATAGTCCAAAATAGTCCAAATAGAACCATAGCTGGTTTGGAGAATTTGTCCAATTCAACTGTACTGGCTTAAAGAGTTTCTTCTTCATAAAACACTGTTTTTGGTCGGAGTAACCTCTTCTGAAGTGGTCCACCCGCGGAAAATTTAAAAAAAAGAACTAACAATGATAATAATAAAAAGTTCTTCCTGAGGCCTGATTCTTATTGCCTGATGTCAGTCCCCCTCACTGGAGCAGGAGAGAGGGCAGACTGAAAGGAGGACAGGGTAGATATCGAGTGGTTCCCAGCATGCAGTGTATGCTCATGTCATATGTCAATTTTGCAGAATCCATCCACGAAATTTGTTGCACCTCCATCAATAGATGGGTTATTTTCTGTATATGTAATGTTTTAAAGCACCAATACTGCACATACATATTCCAGGCACCATTACCACTTCAATCTGTAAAGTGGCCATGGTGTTTGAAGTAACCTTTAAATTTGATATTAAATTTGACTTAACTTTGAATTCCTGAATATTATCACTTTAGTCAACAAATATGTCTTTGTGCAAAAGCATATAGTGTGCATTTATTATATATAACAGAAAATATACTTATAGAAAATATTTCAGTCTGTTTAGATATTCTCTATTAAGTACACCAATGTGCCAATTTGCACACCACGCCATTTATAAAGCTTGTTTCTGGCAAAGTTTAGTAAAACCTAAGTGGGTCTTACAGAGTCAGTTAGACAGAATGAGGTCAATTTCAACATACCTATTAGCTATGTTATGCTATTTTAAACAGAGGTTTATCTTTAGACAGCTCTTTTGATCTAAAGGTTATTATATGTTCAAAGCTGATTAACCTAGCCATGCTGCTGATACAAGGCCAAATACTTGATTTATGGTAGGTAAAAACAGATGCATACCCAATACTACATTCAACTAAATGTGAAAAAATACCTAAATGCAAAACAAATACAACTAAATATTACTTATTAAAAGAAGTTATAACTTTTTGTTCATTTTGAATGCTTACTTATTTATAGAAATATGATAGTGATTGATTAATTTTGCATGTTAACCCCAGTAAATCATTAATAGTTTATGATGTACTATGATGCAATGCATTGGATATGTAACTTTAAAAAAAAACAAAAAACGAATTTGTAATTATGTTTTATTACTCATTTGCAATTTTGTGTTAGAGACACTTAATATTTATACAGATTTTGACAAATAATACTTTAAAGAATGAATCCAAAATGTTTTATTTATACAGAACTGGTATTTAAATTATAGTTAAAGAAGTATATGAAATATTACTGTTTATTATGGAATCTATGGCAAGTGTCCTGCCCAATAAAGAAAAAATCAATGTTTAATATGTTTGTCGTCGTTTTTTATCGTGATTTTGCTGTGTGTAAGTGTTGTGCATTTATGTTATTCATATTGTAGCAATGGTAATTGTTAACTATAATCCCATCAGAGTTTTCTTTAGAATTCAATTTTGCATATCATTCTATTAAAATGTCTACCTTGGTAATGGATTTGAGAGCACTAAGAAAAACTCTCTTGCGGAATATTTTCATATTTATATTCAAACCTTTTATAAATTTAACTTGCAATTCACTGTTAAAAAAAAGCTAGGTAGCACATTGTGTGCTTGCATATGCATCTGGAAATTAAATGGCGCTACAAATTATTACATGATTAATAGAAAAAGTGCAGAGGCGGGCTACAAAATGAATAAAAGCAATGGAACATATCAGCTATGAAGAAAGGTGAAAAAATGTAAGCCTCTTTAGTTTAGAAAAACGTTTCCTGAGAGGGGATATGATAACATTATACAAATATATTCGGGGCCAATAAAAATCATTGTGTGGAAATCTATTCACAAACCGGACTCTACATAGGACAAGAGGTCATGCGTTTAGACTGGAAGAAAGAAGATTTTGTCTAGGGCAAATTAAAGTTTTTTTTACTGTAAGAACAATAAGGATGTGGAATTCTCTGCCTGAAGAAGTGGTTTTATCAGAGTCCATACAGATGTTCAAACAGCTACTATATGCATACTTGCAAAAACAGAATATTCAAGGATATAATCTTTCAATGTAGGGTAATAACTGCTTGATCCAAGGATAAATCTGACTGCCAATCTGGAGTCAATAAGGTATTTTTTTCCTAGCTTGTTGCAAAATTGAAAGTGCTTTAAATTGTGGTTTTACTTTTGCCTTTTTTTGGATCAACAGCAAAAAACAAATGTGAGGAAGGCTGAACTTGATGGCAAATCTCTTTTCAGCTATGTAACTATGTAACTATGATTAAAGAGTTCTTAGTTTCTTTTAAATGACAATTATAGTGACCAACATAGAATAACAACATAACAAAAAACACAACACATACTCTAAAGATTATAAAATGTTATTTTTTATTTATTTTTACAAATAAATGTTTTTGTTCAGTTGAACATATAAGTGATATTTAAAGATATTTAACATTTTTAAATAAGATAATATAACATATTCATGTTTAAAAGTTCCCTTTAGTTGGTACTATATATATATATATATATATACATATATATATATATATATATATATATTCATTTTTAATTTTTCACATTTAGATTTTTTTTTTAAAATGTGTAACATTTCCACTGTTTCTAAAGTTGATAAGTTTCTCTTCTAAATGCATCTAATAGTAAATAAGCTTACATTTTAAAAAAAAATATTGAATATCATCCATTACTGTTCTCTCTCTTCTTGAGTCTAGACAATCTCCTACAAAACGGTCTCTGATTGGTATTAAAGCCATCAAAAATGTAAGGATGCCATCTAAAGAAGGCATTTACTTACTAAACTTGGAGATTCATTTTAGACCAAATTGTAATTTCACCACATTAGGGTGAATCAGGTGTTCTGAAATTCTGATTTTTAAGCTACCATGTGCAAAAATCTCGGAAGATCTAACACGCACAAGTCCAAAAATTTTATTTTTCTTTCTTAATTCATAGTGGAGTTCCTGGCACCAAACAAAGAAGGATGGAATGGAGATGAGTCTTCTTGTTTTTTTGTTTTTTTGTTTTTTGTTTGGTGGGGACAAATAAACAGCTTAGATTGGCATTATGGACAAGATATATGTCCAATCACGTTGATTATATCTCCTTTCCAATCAACAGGTAAAAAAAGAAGGACAATTGATTGTTAAGGAACAGCCACTAAATGTTGATTTTATCGACAGACAACTGAACAATAGAGGCAAATTGGGAGAAACTGTAAAACAATCTATACTTCCAAGAAGGATTTTTCTAGACATTTTGGCTCTGATGGGGAAACAGGAGATTGCTATTTATACACAGTTGAATAGCTCATCCACTGTCAATGTAACCATCACTGGCACCACAAATCAACATCACCTGTACTGCCACTATCAGCATTTTCATTAGAGAGATTAAACCAAGTGCATACAGGTTACTATTACAACAGTTTCCACTGCCAGCAGTGGCATCTCTAGGAATAATATATAGGGGGGCACATAAGATACCACAGTCAAAACTATGGCGCACTAATAACATTCACCACTAAATTATACAAAAAAATAAATATATGTAAACGTACACACAAGCGTATTCAGAAAAATGCCATATCTATAGTTTACAAATCAGTGTAAAAATTGAATTAAGGGAGTTATTCAAAGAGCACTGGTGTTTGATTTAGTTACAAACAACAGAGAAAATCTCCACTGTTGCAACAGAGATAAACTTAGGATTTCAAAAAGAGAAATTTAAACATTGGCAGAAGAAGGTTCTTCCTCCGCTGTATGGATTTCCTTTTTGTGAAATGCCAAAGTTTGTAGCCGTTGCACCATTATAACTAAATTGTATAAAGTTCAATGGATTTGTTATGTACTATTACAACCTGGATTTTGTTGTGCAAAAAATACACAGCTTCCTGCATCTACATTCACTCACAGACTGCTTAATACAAAATAGGGAACAGCGCGCAATAAAAATACGGTTTTCAATTTTACAATACCACTTAAAATCATCTATCTTAGCAAACAAATATGGGGATTCAGTTACACCATATGGCCAAATTGTGTTAAGCCCACTACTGTCAAAGTACCCCAATATCGGTGGGTCCCAAGCTAATTTTAACATGGGAGATTACAAATTTACTGCAATAGGCACTGCATAAACTGCTTCCAGAGACTTCTCAATTTAAGCTTTCCTGTGGTTACCTTGAAAGGGTCAAATATAGGGGATGAGTGAGGTGCTCAGCCTAAAACATACACACATACTACCTCATAGATACATACACAGACAAACAAACTGATTGATAAATGCACCAATTCTCACATGCACACTGCTAAATACATATTTACAAACTGTTAAATTCATATACGTACACTACTAAATATATACAAACACTGCTAAATACACATACATTGCTAAATACTGTGAGAACTTAACTAGCGACCTTGCCGATATCCAACACTTCCGGGTTCATGGACCAATGACACCCCCCCATCTCTGACGCGGCTTCCTCAAGCTACTTAGAGGAACCGCGCCAGATTTAAAGTGCTTGATTATTTTGAAGCTAATCTACTGACTACGTGTACCGTGTAGTCAGTACGTGTACCGTGTACTACGTGTACCGAACCTGGACTGTTTAAACCGCTGATCTCCATTCTCCTTACCTTGACTCGGATTACCTTTGGAATACTCTTCTTGTTTAAACTACCAACTTACAGCAAGTAAATATCGGACTATTCCTTTCTACTGGCACCTCAATGTCTTTCTGTGCCGTCTGAATACTATTAATGGAAAAGCTATCTCTGTAATTCATACATGAATTTATCCTCGCAGAGTACTCCTCTGCATCCTCTCTGTATTATAATACAAGACACTAATTCCACTTGGGTTCCTTAAGGCTACAGGAACTCGTCTCAACAAACTATCTTCTTATCACATTCCTTAAGGCTTTAGGAACTCGTCTCAATGAACTACCTTCTTATTGTATTCCTTAAAGCCACAGGAACTCGTCTAAATGAACTACCTTCTTATTGTATTCCTTAAAGCTTCAGGAACTCGTCTCAACGAACTACCTTCTTACTGTATTCCTAAAGCTACATGAACTCGTCTAAACGAACTACCTTCTTATTGTATTCCTTAAAGCTACAGGAACTCGTTTCAACAAACTACCTTTTTATTGCATTCCTTAACCTCTTAACGACCGAGGACGGTTCAGGACCGTCATCGGCATTTTTGCCTTGAGGACCGATGACGGTCCTGAACCGTCCTAACGTTCTGGGGGTACTTACCTGATCGCCGTCGTTCCCCCGGCGGCGATCAGCGTGGCTCCGGTTGTGGGGAGACTGCCTGCAGCCCAGACAGTCTCCCCACACTGATATAGGACCCCTGTGGCCATGTGATCGCTCAACACAGCGATCACATGGTCACAATAGGTGTCCATGTGTCTGCCTGCAGGGGGGCTGCCTGTGCTGACAGGCAGTCTCCCTGCATGTGTAAAATAAAAAAAAAATAAAGTTAATGTTAAAAAAATTATATATGTGTATATATGATATATAGACATATACTATATCTATATAATATATGTCTATCTATCATATATATAATGTCATACTAAGTGTATTTTTATATTAATATGTACTTATATTAATATAAAAATACACTTATAATTAAATTACGCACGTATATATATAATATATATAATAACTATATATATTGTATATATATTATTATAAAATATAAATAATAAGTAATTTAAATTAAATAAATTTTTTTTTAAATAATAATAAAAAATTTTAAAAAAATTATATAGCTATATGAAATTTTATTCTAACTGTATTTTAAAATTAATATATATATATTTATATCAAAATACACTTAGAATGAATTTGTATATATATCTATGTATATATAAATAAATAAAAATAATAAGAAATATACATATGTCCATATACAAAATTACATAAATAATTATATAAATATACACGTAGACTTCAAATATATAAATATGCATATATATTTAAATTCTACGTGCGTATTTATGTAATAGTTTTA